GCATTAGGTACTGGAAGTTTACACTTGGAAAGTCTCTCCTTCGTATCCACTTGTCAGTCTAAAATCTATGCAGTACATTCCCATTTAACACCTGGCAGCTTGGAGAATACAGCTTACTTCAAAGTTATTTATAAGCAAGAGATTTAAGCAGTACAGTGATATTCCAGATCCTAGGGACCTATGACAAAAGTATTTAAATTCAGCATTTCCTTAACTACTAAAGGCAGTAAAACTACTACTAAAAGCACTCAAAAATAAAAATTCTGCTGGATATTAATTATAACCATAGTAACTAAGTTAATATAGGCATATATTTTTAAACCCAGAGGTATAGTGTATCTTTGCTTCTATATGCTACATACCTGAAGTAAATTTCAGTCTCCACCCCACTTATACTGTAATGATCTTACATCATTTCCTTGTTTGTTTCCTCTTCCCTGCTCCATACATTTTATAAAAAATACTAATAGCTACCATTAAGACTGCTAGGCATTTAATATGGCTTATGATAACTTCATGTAACAGTTCTATGACAAAGGCAGAATTATTTCCCTTTAACACCTAAGAAAACTGACTTCTGAAAGGCTTGTAATTGGTCCATGACAACTCTAGACATTTAAGTTAAAAAAAACCCCAGAGGATTAATAATTCATGCTGCATAAAAAATGGTGCCCTGGAAATGTTAAGAATGAATGATGATGCATAAATTTCCACATATATAGTCAACTAATTTTTGACACAGGCACCAAGAATACACAATGGTGAAAGGAGAGTCTCTTCAATAAATGGTATTGGGGTCCTGGCTGGCGTAGCTCAGTGGATTGAGCGCGGGCTAGGAACCAAAGTGTCCCAGGTTCAATTCCCAGCCAGGGTACATGCCTGGGTTGCAGGCCACAGCCCCCAGCAACCACACATTGATGTTCCTCTCTATCTCTCTCCCTTCCCTCTCTAAAAATAAATAAATAAAGTCTTTAAAAAAATAAAATAAAATAAACGGTATTGGGAAAACTGGATATCCACAAACAAAAGAATAAAATTAGACACTTATTATATATGAAAAATAATGCAAAATGTATTAAAGACTTAAAGATCTGAAACCATAAAACTATAATAACACACAGGGAAAATATTCCCTGACATTGGTCTTCACAATGATTTGTTCGGTTTTGACACCAAAAACACACATCAAAAGCAAAAATAAACAAGTAGAACTACATAAAACTACAAAGCTGCTGCACAGCAAAGGAATCAGTCAACAAAATGAAAAGGCAACCTATGAAGTGGAAGAAAATACTGGAAAGCTATATGTCTGATGAGGGTTTAATATCCAAAATATATAAGAAATACAACTCAATACCCCCAAAATCCTAATTTAAAATGGGCACAGGACCTGCATAGACATTTTATGAAAGGAGAATACAAATGGCCAACAGGTATGTAAATAGATGTCCAACACCATTAATTATCAGGAAAATTCAAATCAAAACCACAAAGTCAAAGAATTATTACTTCACACCTGTTAGAGTGGTTACCAAAAACAAAGTCAAAAGATAACAAGCATTGAAGAGGATGTGAAAAAATTAACCTTTGAACACTCCTGGTAAAAAATAGTAAATTGTTACATCCATTATGAAAAACAGTATACAGACTCCTCAGAAAGTTAAAAACAGAACTTCCATATGACCTAGCAATCCTATTTCTGAGTGTACATCCAAAGGAAATGAAACAACTTTAGTGTCTTTAGAGAGATGGATTAAGAAAATTGTGTGTGTGTACACACAATTTGGAATATTATTCAGCCTTTCAAAGGAGGAAATCCTGCCATTTTCAACAACATGAATGAACCTGGAGGACATTTAGCTAAGTGAAATAAACCAGACACAGAAAGACAGATACCACTTAATCTCACTTACATGTGGACCCTTCAAAAAAAGAAGCTGAACTCAGTAACAGAGAATAGAGAATAGTAGTTACCAACAGGGTGGAGGTGGATAAAGGGGAGAGATTGATCAAAGGGTATAAACTTTTAGATGTAAGATGAGTAAGTTCTTATCACATAATGTATAGCATGGTAACTATAGTTAATAATAATGTACTGTATACTTGTAATTTGCTAAAAGAGTAGATTCCCAGTGTTCTCACCACACACACAATAGTAATTATGTGACATAACAGACATGTTAGTTTGCTTGATTGTGGTAATCATTTCACAATGTATAAATAAATCAAAACATTATGATGAACACCTTAATTATATATCCAATTTTGTCAATCATACCTCAAGAAAATCAGGGGTAAATGATGGGGAAAAGACAAGTTATATAAGTAGACTATAAAATGTTCAATGTAAAATCATAATCACTCTAAAAATTCTGAAAACTGGAACAGTCACCAAATTGTTAACAGTGATTGCACCTGGAAGTTAATTATATGTGAGCTATGTCCTAAAGAGAATGGTGAATATGAATGGCAACATAAGTAGCACACCTGAGTAGTAATAACTGACAAAAACAAACATCATTTAAATATTTTTATTATAAAATATTTTAAATATACAAAAGGTACAGAGATTAAGAACCTATCTATAAACCCATGACCAGCTTTATCAAATTATAAGAATTAACCATACTTATTTGTTTTGAAGAAATAAATGATTATTTGCATCCTTTGATTAATCTCATTATTCATCCCCCCAAGTTACCACTTTTCTGAATTTAATGATTATTTTCATGAATGTTACTGTATTACTTCTATATGATATTTACCAATAGAAAAAAGTGTTGATTTGCATGTTTTCAAACATTATATTAATAAGTGGTACCTTGTCATACAAAACTCTCTAATTCAATTTCATCATTTTTGAGAGTTGTTCATATTGATAGAAGTATAAATAGTTCATTCATTTTAACTACATTCATCTTAATGGTTATTTTGATTGCTTTTAACTTTCAATCTCACAAATAATTCTGAAGTGGATCTTCAAGCACATGACCCTGAAAACATGAGAAGACTGTAGTAGGCATGGCCAATATCAGGGTGTCTCTTCACCACACTGGAAGAAGAGTTTTCTGGGCCACACATTAAATACATTGTGACACATAATCACAAGAAAATCTCATAATGTTTTAAGTAAATTTACAATTTTGTGTTGGGATGCATTTACAGCCATGCTGGGCTGCAGTTTGGACACCCCTGCTAGAAGTGTGGATAATGTGTCAACGAGTATCAACATCCCCAACTTTACTAGATATTGCATAATTATCCTAAACACAACTACTTCCAAATAGCACTGTATGAACATTCCTATTGTTGTACATCTTTTTAATCATTGGCAAAGTAATGCTTTTGCCAATGTAATGATCTTGAAATAGTTCATTGTGCTTTTATTTACATTTCCCTTACTACTAGTGACACACATAGTGAATTATTCTAATATCCCCAAATCCATTCTTTCATTACTAATATGATTAATTTTTATCTTATGCAAAATTTCTACAGATAGCTCATACTCAAGAATTTTCTTGCCATTCTTAAGAATTCATACTTCATAGATGAATTTCAGAACAAACTTGTGAAAATAAAGGGCAAAAAGCCCATTCAGAAATTATGATTTGAAATGCAGTAAATTGTAAATCAGGAATAACTAGTAACTTTGTTACCCTCAGTTTCTTCAGTCTAGACCATATAATACTTTTGAGTTTACTTCATTATTCTTCAGTTAAGCATGAAATTTAAGCATGAATGTGAAAACATATGCTTAAATTTAAGTATAACACTCTCAGCCTCTGGAATTTAACTCCACGAGAACATTGTCTTTGTATTGATCATCATTGTCTCCTCATGCCTGAAACAGTGACAGTGCCTGGCAAATAGTAGCTACTCAACATTCACTGAATGAAAATATACACATATTGTGTATATATTTATAATTATAGAATATATATACACAATGTATATATTCAGAATATACATATTCTGTAGTCATACACACACACACACACACACACACACACACACAATCTGTAGCTCTCTTCCCTAAATTCCCTTTTGATTTAAATTTTACAATCATTAGATAAAAACATTTATAAACATTGTACTTTCTACAGCATGGAAGAGTTTAGATGCTTTGAAATTACCCAGATTAAATCATACAACTACCTGGGCCTGGGCCTAGTGCCTTCTTGTGGTACAGTATGATTTTCTAGCTTTATGGGGTTTTTTGGAGTTAATTGTGATACTCTATTCTTTTATCTAAATGTAAGCTTTATATTTTCAGTAAATCTTCATATTTTAATTGGTTTACTCAATTCATTCTCTCTAGAGACCTAAAACTGGCTATAAGTGTTATATTTTTATTATCTGTGTCTATATTGATTTCTCACCTAGAGTACAAACACTGCACTTATGTTCTACAATTTTTAGTTTTCCCAGTTCCGACCTGTTGCTTCTCAGGGATGTTTGACTACTTTGTCCACCAAGGAATCTTGTTTTAGCTATGAAGGGTAAGTGAGTTAACATATGCTGAGTGTGTAGAAGAATGTGCTATATTTAATGCACTAGATGAAATACTTTACAATCAAAATTTTTACTTAATATGCATCAATTTACAACATACATTATTTCATTTAATATTTTCTAAAATACAGTATCCTTGCCCTCGCTGGGTATCTCAGTTGGTTGGAGCATCATCCTGTACACCAAATGGCTGTGAGTTTGATTCCCAGTCAGGGCACATATCTAGCTTGTGGGTTTGATTCCCAGTTCAGGTATGTACAGGAGGCAACCAATGTTTCTCTCTTACATCAATGTTTCTCTCTCTCTCTCCTCCCCTTTCTTGTCTCTCTAAAATCAATAAACATAAAACATATCCTCAGGTGTGGATTAAAAATGTAAGATACTGTATCTTATATTTAAAATAGGGATACATTATCCTTATTTTAAGAATTAAAGAAAACCTTGAGGTTTAGATAAATTAAGAAAATTACTCAAAGTCACACAATCCCAAAGCAGTGGTAGAGTATAATGTTCTAGAATCTAGGGTTTTCATCCCAGGAAGTGCTTAGTGCCCAGAGAGGGAAAATAAATAAAATAAGGCTGGGAGGTATAAAAGAACCAGCTAATAAAGCAACTCATAGACAATTTTAAAGACTGAGGATGTTAGTTTAAGAACAACAGCAAGTCAAAAAGTTTTAACTGGAAGCAGTGATGTATGTATTCTTACACTTTAAAAAGATCCTTTTGGGCAAGGTGAGAAATAAGTTTAAGGAAACCAAAAGTTGATAAAGGAAGTCCTGTTAGAAACTCTATAGCAGTGATCCAGGTGAGATGGATCATAGACTAGAGTGATATTAAAGATGGAAAAAGAGTATACATCCAAGAAATACTTATAATAGCGTCTATAGGTCTTGGTGATTGACTGAATTAGGTGGTGAGAATGACACCCCAAGATGGATTCTCTGATGATGAGCAAGATGTGCATGCTGCCTGAAGGTTTTCTTGCATTCTTTACATTCATAGGGTCTCTCTCCAGTATGAATTCTCTGATGTTGGGCAAGGGATCCACAGTAACTAAAAGCCTTTCCACAAACATTACATTCATAAGGCTTCTCTCCAGTATGAACTCTCTGATGTTGGGTAAGAGATGAGTCATTGCTGAAAGCCTTCCCACATTTAATACACTCATAGGGTTTCTCTCCAGTATGAACTCTTTGATGTTGCGCGAGGTAGGCAATCTGGCTGAAGGCTTTCCTACATTCCTGACATTTATAAGGTTTTTCCCCAGTATGAATTCTCTGATGTTGAGCAAGGTGTGAATTCTGGCTGAAGGCCTTCCCACATTCTTTACATTCATAGGGTCTCTCTCCAGTATGTATCCTCTGATGTACAGTTAGATATGCACGAAGGCTAAATGCTTTCCCACACACGTTACATTCATAAGGTTTCTCACCAGTATGAACTCTCTGGTGTTGAGCAATTGATGATCTATTACTAAATGCTTTCCCACATTCAACACATTCATAGGGTTTCTCTCCAGTATGAACTCTCTGGTGTTGAGCAAGATAGGCAAACTGGCTGAAGGCTTTCCTACACACCTTACATTCATAAGGTTTTTCTCCAGTATGAACTCTAAGATGTTGAACTAGGTGTGCATTCTGACTAAATGCTTTCCTACATTCCTTACATTCATAGGGTTTCTCACCAGTATGAATCCTCTGATGTTGAACAAGATTTGATCTTTGGCTGAAGGCTTTCCCACATTCTACACATTTATAGGGTTTCTCTCCAGTATGAATTCTTTGATGAAGAATAAGGGATGAGCTCTGGCTGAAAACTTTTTCACAGTCATTACATTTCAAAAGTTTCTTCTCTGTATAGATATTCTTGGGTTTAATAGCCATTAAGTTTTTTTTAAACCTTTTATTATGTATATCATGTTTATATATTTTTTCCTCTTTTGAAACAATCTGTTCTGTATGAAGTAGTGTATTCACATGGAAACTTTGCCAATATTTCTTATATTCTTGTCCTCTCTCATTAATAAGGGCTTCTTCATGAGTGATTATCTCTTCTTTAAAATATGCATTCTGATTCATTGTTTCCCTCTCAAAATGGCCCTCACATTTCCATTCCCCTCTCAAATTGGAGTACTGAAGTCCACAGCTTGTAAGTTTTTCTATTATCTTCTGAGATGACTGTGCTTCATAAATGTCCTGTTTTGGGGTTAATTCTTCACTCTCATACACAGATTCCCAGCCTGAAAAATAATAAGAAAAAATGTCTCCTCTATTATGTACCAGGTGGTACATTTATGAAAGTACATAAAGTGAAGTGAGTTTAATAGCAAATGAAACCAACAAGAACACTGGTTTTCATAGTTCTGAAGTGTGTAAGAAAAAAGAAAAAAACAGGTTATACAGAATCTTGGTGGGGAATGGTTAGAATTATAGAAAAATCAGTAAGGTGAATCTCAGGTCAAGAAGAAATTATGGAATAAACACTCTCAGCAAAGTGGAAACAGAGAGAACATACCTCAACATAAATACCACATGTGAAAAACCCACAACTAACATCATACTCATGATGAACATCATACTCATCATAACATACTAAAAAGCAAGGTTTTTTTCTTTAAGATAAAAAAATCAACAAGATCTCCACTCTTGCCACATTTACTAAGCATAAGATTGAAAGTTCTAGCCACAGCAATCAGACAAGGAAAAAAAAAAGTAAATGGCATACAAATTGGAAAGAAGAAAAGCTGTCATCATTTGCAGATGTCATATTACTATATAGAGAGAACCCTAAAGCTTCCACAAAATATTTTTAGGACTAATATATTCAGTAAAGTAGCAGGATACAAAATTAATATTCAGAAATTGGTTGCATGTTTATATACCATTTATGAACTATCAGAAAGAGAAATTAAGAAAATAATCCAATTTAAATTGTATGAAAATAATAAAATACCTACGAATAAAATTTAAACAAGGAAATAAAAGACCTGTACTTGAAAAACTGTAAGAAATTGAGGGTACAAGCAAATAAAAGGATATATATACATGGCCATGGATAAAAAAAATAACATTGTTACTACCCAAAGTAATCCACAGACTCAATGCAATACTTATCAAAATACCAATGGCATTTTTCACAGAACTAGAACAAATATTCCTAAAATTTATAGTAAACAACAAAAGACCCTAAATTGGCATGGTAATCTTGAGAAAGAACAAAGTTGAAGGTATCATGTTACTTGACTTCAAACTATACTACAAGGTGATAGTAATCAGAACAGCACGATATGTAGCATAAAAACAGACACAGAGATCAATGGAAGAGAATAGAACCCAGAAATAAACCCATGCCTATATGGTCAATTATTCTATAACAAAAGAGGCAAGGATGTACAGTGGGGTGAAGACAGTTTTTTCAACTGATGGTGGGAAAACTGCACAGATAAATGCAAAAAGATACTAGAACGTTTTCTTATGTGGAATCTAAAAACAAAACTCAATGGAGTAGACTTAACTGTAAGATTTGAAACCATAAACCAAGAAAAAAATTAAAAAGCAGTAAGTTTTTTTATATTGTTCTCAGTAACATTGTTTTTGTATATGTCTCCTTAAGTAAGAGAAATAAAGAAAAAATAAGAAAATAAAAGTAGTTATACAGATACCAAGTACAACATAAGAAATATAGTCAATAATTTTGTGATAAACATATGTGGTGTCAGATGGGTACTAGACTTATTGGGACAATCATTTCTTTAGGTCTATAAATGTCTAATCATTTTTGCACACCTAAAAGTAATATAATTTTGTATGTTGACTATTATGGAAAGTTAATTTTTAAAAAGGAGAAATTAAGAAGATGGCTGGACTCAGTTACAACTTTATGTATGTATGAATAGTACAGGCACTGAAATAACCTCCATTCATTTAGTTGCTTCTTTTAAAAACATTCACTTTACATTGTGAAAGGTGCTATTCTAGAAGCTTTCAATATGACAGTAAACAAAGCAAAGATCTTTACCTTCATGGACCTTATTTTTTGGGGGATACAGAAAATAGGTGCTAATTAACTAAATTTTATTGTATGTTAGAAGGTACTAAATGCTACAGGAAAAAAAAAGCAGGTAACATTCTCAAATGGATATCTCCCTCTCTCTCTCCTCCCCCTTCCTTCCTCCATTCCCTTCTTCCCTTCCTCTCTCTCTAAAATTAATTTTAAAAAATCTTTAGAGGAAGATTTTTTAAAAATCAGGTAAGAGATAAGGAGTGTTGATGAAGTCAAAGACAGGAATCCTTAATAAGTTAATATTTGTTAATGACCATAACAAACAAATCAACAAACAACAAGTGCTAGTAAGGTTGTGGAGAAAAGAGACTAGTACACTGTTGGTGGGAATGCAAATTGGTACAGCCACTGTGGAAAACAGTATGGAATTTCCTCAAAAAACTAAAAATGGTACTGCCTTTTGACCTGGCAATCACACTGCTAGGAGTATACCCTAAGAATCCTGAAACACCAATTCAAAAGAACCTATGTACCCCAATGTTCATAGCAGCACAATTTAAAAAAGCCAAGTGCTGGAAACAGACTAAGTGCCCATAAGTAAGTACGTGGATCAAAAAACTTTGGTACATTTACACAATGGAACACTACACAGCAGAAAGAAAGAAGGAGCTCTTACCCTTTGTGACAGCATGGATGGAACTAGAGAGCATTTTGCTATGTGAAATAAGCCAGGAAGTGAAAGGCAAATACCATATGATCTCACCTATAAGTGGAGCCTAATTAACAAAACAAACAAATGACCAAAATAGAACCAGAGACATAAAAATAAAGAACAAACTGACAGTAACCAGAGGGGAGGGGAGAGTGGGATAACAGAGGAAAGAAGGGTAAGGGTCATCAACGAACCTGTATAAAGGACCCATGGACAAAGACAATGGTGGGGGGGCGTTGAATGTGGAAGGTGGGAGTGGGCAGCAAAGGAGGAGAGTTTGGGGGGAAAATGGGGACAACTATATATGAACAACAATAAAAATAGTAAGAACATTTAAGCAAAGATTTGAAGGAAGTGATTAGTTGCTTAGATATTTGGGAAAGTTACTTAGATATCTAAAGTAGAAGTATATTTGGTACATTTGAGGAATAACAAGAGACAGTGTCGCTGGGGAGGAGGGAGTAGTAAGAGATATGAGATAAAGGCTAACAAGATTACTTAAGTATTAGAGGCATCCTAAGCAATTTGACTTTTACTCAGTGGATGGAAGCCACAAGTGTGAGTAGAAGAGGGATATTTAATTACTAATTAATGAGCACAGTGGAAGTTGGGAGGCAAGAGGAGAAAGAAGGGGACCTATTTCAGTAATAATCAAGAGATTCTGTCCTCTAGGGAGAGACAGCAATCTTCTAGAAACCCAAGCACCCTCTTAAAGAACCAGCACACAAAATTTTGTTCAAGCCACTTACCCTGGGCTGGCAGAGGGAAAGCAGACTGGAGCAGACTGGAGTAGTGTGAGTACAAACTAGGTTTTGTGGCTCCAAGGAGAGAGCTAAAGGGACAGCTGCCATGATCCATGTGTTGAATGTATTTCCCACACTGTACAGAAATGCCATCTTTCCTAAGTTGAGCACTAGCTTCTATACTGCATTGACCTGGAGGAATGCACTAGACCTACCCTATTAATTCCCTGTCACCTGGCCCTGCTGAATTCATGCCCTGCAGAGAAGACAGCTGCCTGGGTACATGGTGTAGAGATCCAGGAAGATTCAGGGTGTGTCAGAGTCTAAGTATATGGTTCTGGGGCTCCTGTACCATGCACCAGAGAGACCCTCCAACAAGAGATCCACTAGCACCCCCCCCGCCAACTCTCAACGGCCCTGACCTGCCTAGCTCATGCTCTTTGGCCAGAGTAGACCTGCTATACATACTCTCTTGGAAGACTCTTGAGGAGTTCCAGGCAGATCCAAGGACAGACTGAGTTGTGGGGCTTTAAGGGTAAGGGCCATTTTTCTCTTGCATGTCTGATAAGCACCACCATTCCAGTAGAGAGGTCTCCCTTCACAAAGCAAAATCTTCTGTTTGGTCCTGACAAATGAATGCCACTGGTCTCAACCTGATGAATCCCTGAGACCCTGCCTTGCCACAAAGGTCCATGGACACACAGCAGATAGCACCTGGCTATGGTGTACCTGGAGACTTTTGCCTCAGACCCAGCACTGGTCCTGAGTTTAAATCTGTAAATCTGGTGATCACTACTTGCTCCTACCAGGAGATTTATAGAAACCTCCCTCATGTAACTTGCAAACTTCCAGAAGCTCTTTCAGTAACTGAGACTAATAGTCAGCCAGCAGGCAAAGGCAAATCTCAGAGTGCCTTGGGCCTTTTGCTGGCCTGCACCAAGACTTGGTCCTGGTGAAAACCAACTATGGTGTACAGCCTGGCCTCTCCCCAACATACCCAGGCCCAGCAGAGGCCCAGTGATTCACAAACTGTGAATCACTTTGTATTTCCAAACAGGTAGCCAAGGGCCAGTCACAGGCAATGCCTGATATTTACCTGGACCAGTGTCCCTTGCTAGACAGACTCATAAAACATCAAGGCACAATCCAATTAGTTCTAAAAGTAGCAGACACAAAATCTCGGCAGGCGCCAGACCCTGCTGTGGCAAATTTTGCTTCATGGTGTCAGCCACTGCATAACATCTCATAAACTATGGTCATAGTCAACACTCATTGTCAGCCAACTGGAAGGTCAACTCTACCCACTAAAGATCAAGAGCAATAAAAACTCATATACAACAGGAGGGTCACATAACCCACACAAGAGACATTCCTGGATCATCTAGTTCAGGTGATGAAGGAGACTGCAACCAAACCTCACAACACACCTAGTATATAATGACACCAAACCAAGACTGGGAGGCATAGCAGATGTGCTAATACACAGAAACAAATACAGAGAGGTAGCCAAAATGAGGAGACAAAGAAACATGCCCAGAATGAAAGAACAGGGGAAATCCCCAGAAAAAGAACTAAATAAAATGAAGGTAAGCAATCTACTAGATACAGAGTTCAAAACAATGGTTATAAAATATCTCATGGTACACAGAGTAAGAATGGATTAACTCAGTGCAAACTTTAAAAAAAGGTAGTGGGCATAAAACAGGACATAGAAACCATAAGAAAGAACCAGGCAAAAATGAAGAATACAATATCTAAAGTGAAGAATACACTAGAAATATT